GAATAAACAATTCTGTTTAAAACATATTAAAATCCTCAGAATTACAAAACTGAAACCAGGTTTGCTCAATACTTTTTATTATTATTATTATTATTAATAAAGTGCTTTGATTTAATGAACTGCAGATTATTGTATCTAATCTTGTTTCAGTGTGTTCTAAACATTGTCACTGTTAAAAAAAGTTTCTCTTATCTTTCAGTCGTCCCGCAAACATCCTGCAGGAACAGATGTTACGAGCCCTTCGACGATGAGGTCGCCGGCTGCAGATGTGACGTGAACTGTGTTCTCGGCAAGAGCTGCTGTCATGACTATCATGACATTTGTACACTTCCAAGTAGGACAGTGATTTTTTTTCTCTCCAAAAAAAATGTAGCTTCCTCTTGGCTTCTGTAAGAACTGATACCGGCATCTTAAGAATGTTTAGAGTGCAAAGTCAAAAAACATCACTCACAGCTGAAGCAACAGAGAATGACTGTGTATTACTGTAAATAGAACCAAGTGTTGTTTTTAACCTCCTGAATGTTTGTGTCAGCTGAGCAGTGGGAATGCACCAAGCTGCGCTGCGGTGAAAGCAGACTGAATGAGAGTAAATGTCACTGCTCTGAAGACTGCCTGTTGAAAGGAGACTGCTGCACAAACTACAAACATGTCTGCCATGGTAAGACAGCAGAAAGGCTGCAAAGWGTTCAACTCATCTGCTAAATCTGCACAATCTTTTAGTTCATTGTTTTTGTGTTCTCGGTGTAGCATCTGTGGGTTTTGTATCATCAGAACTTGACTGCTCAGGATGAGCGGATCAGATTTGTTTCTGTCAAAGGGAAATTCTTCACTCCTCACCTCATTTGCACGTCATTTTGAACTCGTTGACTGAAGGTGCTTCAGTAAATTTTCTTTCACTTTARCAGCACCTTGTCGAGTCAGCTTAAAGAAACACTGGGTTTCATCACATTACTGTATGTACATCATTTCTTGTCTATGTTTTGGATTGTATCACTGTCATAAGTTGCAATGAAACGCTGCATGACAAGATACATGGAGGAACAAAAAAAACAAATCTCATCCTGTGGGTGGGAATGGTTCACTGCAAACGGAAAACATCTGTTCGTCAGTCGTGACCACGATGATTCTTGGTTTCTGTTTAACCGCTGAGTTGTTAAACACACAAATAGGTAGAATTAAAGSAAAGTGCCAGTCCACTTTAACCTCCTCTGCCTGCCCACACATGTTTRGAAAGAAGATTAAGTGAAGCACACAATAACATGGTTGCAGTTTCTGCTCAGAAYTCCCTGTATTTTCCGTTTCGTTGTAGAGGAGAAGGAATGGGTGGAGGATGKCTGCGAGGACCTGTCAACGCCCAAATGTCCAGCAAGGTAAGACATTTTAGTAAAAAATAAAATCAAGCGCATGTCATAACTGTAGCTCCTTTGGACAACAATAAAACTCAATTTATAAAGTACATAYGTCTTTTTACTACCCTCATCTATGGTCACGAGATTTGGGAAGTAACCGAAAGAACGAGATCGTGGATACAAGCGGCCGAAATGAGATTCCTTTGCAGGGTGTTTGGGCTCTCCCTTAGAG